GGAATATTTTCAATAATTAAACACCTTGAAAGCTTAGAAAGATTGTCATCTAGAACTTTCTGAGTAATATAGTCTTTGAAAGAATATTCTTGACTATCCTGTACTTTCTCAGAATATTCTGAAAGTTCACTTGCACTGAACATATATATAGAACCATCTCCAAATAAATAACAAATAGAAGGTTTACTGATGATAGCTTGATTTGCATCAAGCTTAAATGCAATTACAAGCTGTTTAAAGGGTAGAAATATAGTATATAAGAAATAGATGTATGAATACACTATAACTTTCTGAAAAGACTGTGGATAAATCAAATGGGTATTATAATTGCCTAGTCAACTTAAAAGTGCAATATAATCATAGTGATATTGAAAATTACATGATAATTGAAGTTTGATTAATTGACATTTAACAAATACAAGAGAATTTCTTGTAGTAAGATCAAACATATTCAAAATTGATTTAATGAGATGAAGATATAATTGCAAAATAAAAGATGAAGACAACTTTTGATATAGTTCTGACCAATAAGTTGAATCTGGATAACATTCATTAATATTTTGCTTCAAGCAACTTGACTTTTTAAATCCATTGATCAAAATTTCATTGTTGTATTTCATAATCAATTTCAAATTTTGAAACTGATCATCATAAAAATTTTGTTCAACTCTACTCGGAGACAAAGTCCCTCTAACTTGGTTTTCAAAATTCAGAGACAGAGTCCCACTATCAACACTGATACAAAATAAATCTAGTAAATATGACTTTACATACAATAAAGAATATAGAAATGACTTGATATGAGATAAATCTTGTTGAAGACTATGAGAGTATTCTTGTTGGAGAATACCACCTAGACCAATTGATTCTAAAGCTAAATATGAGCTAGAATGCATTTAAAAAATAATGATTAGACATATGTAAGACAATGAAATTAATTTTTTGGTGTTTTTCTAAAACTAAGCTTTAGCAAGAGAAATTGAAATATTCTGATATGGAAACTCATCTGAATAGTCAGAAACAATGTTTTTCTGATCAGAAACATCAGAAAAAGTAGTATCTAAAAGAAAGTAAAAAGATCGATCAACAAATCTCTCAAAAAGAGCAAAATTAAGCTGGAATACTGAAAAGAGCTGAAATCATACCTTCTGACAGGCCAGTAGAGTAGGAATATGCAGGATCTACTTGAGAAACATCATACTTAAGTCAGAAAACATCTGAAAGACAGTGAAAAAACAACTTACAGGCCTGATCAGCTTGATTTTGATAAAGATCAACAAAGTTTGAGACTTTCTGGAGCATTCCTGATCCTGATAGAGTAGGAGATGCTACCAGAAGATAGAGGAGAGTGGCCTGAAGCCATAGCAAAAAGAACTGGAGGGATAGCTGCATTGGTTGTGGAGGAAAGAGGAAAACAAGATTG